ATTCCACGGCTAGACTTCCCCGGGGCTACCAGCATCCACGACAGGAGACTCGGGAGGAGGCACGACCTGGCCATCGATGATCTGGGACATGAAACCCGCCCCTTCGGTATTCAGACCATGATTCAATAAAGTGAGTTGGCTAACCGCGGCCTCAAAACCATCCGCCAAGGTGCCAACACAGTCCGTTTCAAGGAGTTGAATACAAGCGACTCCGCAAGGGGGCTGTCTCCTCCGACTCATCTTCGGCGGGGAGCATGGCGGCCTTCAGATCCTCGACTTCTTTGGCCAGACTCTTGTTGTCGGCCTCCAAGCGTTCTCGGTCCAGCCGAAAATAGTCCCTCTCCTCGGCAACCTTCCCCAAGTTCTCCTTCTCCGCGGCCAGTAGCTCGGCTTGCTCGCGGAACATCTCCTCAGATCGCTCCAGAGCAGCCTTCAACTTTCGAGAGCCTACAGCAAGGGCAGCTTTCTCCTGCTCCAGTTCTTTGACGCAGTCAGAGTTTACCCCCTCCTCAGCGAGGACAACAGCCATCTCGGCCATCTTAACCATCCCGACCATGTTGGTGGCCAGATGCTTTCTCCGACTTTCTTTATTTAGCCGCCTGATGGTGTCAGCCTCCTCGGCACTTACAGTCAAGGGAAACCCCTCGAAAAAGCTTTCCTCTTTAAAGCAGGGGGGAAAGCCAAAGGCCCTCACCGCGCCAGACTCATCGCCGACTTCCGGCTGTCTCTCTACTCGGTTTCTCTTCCTCGGTATCAGATCGGGGGTCTGCTCGACGTCCAAGGAGTCCGGGGACCCGCTAGAAGCATCACCTGAGCTTGTCGGCGGCCCCATCCTCGTCGCCTGTGGAGCCCGCACCAACCTTTTATTGACTTTCTTATCCTGTGTCAATTTTAAGAGCCTCTCCTTTCGTCCGGCCATATGACCTGCAAAAAAGAAAACCCGGGTTAGTTACGAGCAAATAACAAACGAAGAGACTAGAACAAAACTATAAGACAAAAAGTAACCTAGTAGGTTTGCGGCCTGCCCGTAGGACTGGCACTCGACAAGCGCCTTTGTATCTATAGGACGGGCCTCAAAGGTCGGGTAACCGTCCTCGTCAAGAATGTCTTTCCCCTCCCTCGTGGCCCACCGAGCAGGGAAGAAACTGTCAACATATCTGTAAAGGGTATCGTAGGCTTCCTCGTCCATGGTACTCATCTCTCTTGCGGACGTATGGTAATGCCTGACACCATGCTCATAATGGCGCGAGCACCAATACAATGGAAACTTAGCTACGCGCCCCAACACCAGGCGACCCTTGTTGTCCATAAGGGGCTCCCCGTTCTCGTCGATCACTACAGTCTCTTCTTCATATACAGAATCCAGAGCAGTCTGGGTGATCGGTTGCACGACATACCATTTGTCCTTAAAACCCCGGACCGAATCCATGTACATCCTGAACAACCTCTTCGACTGTTTCAGGGAAACCCAACTATGCCTACCTCTGCGGGACTGGTGTTGCAAATGAAAAACTCTAAAGAAGAGAGGGATGGTCGCCCCGATCCTTAAAAAGTGACACGTCAGCTCAAAGGCCCGAAGAAAGGCGATCGAGTTGGGGTGAAGCTGCGAGGGGGCCAACTCCAGATGACAGAATACCCCGACCTGGAAATCACTAAAGGGGAGCTTGAGACCGAGGTCCTTGAATGGAATTTCATACATGGTAAAACCATACTCAGAGAACTTCGAGCAGATCCGCGCGTTAAGAGACGGTCTCGTAACAACAAAGTTTTTCTGGAAGCCCGACTGACTACCGCCATGCTCGACGATAGTGTAGGCACTCTGACTGCACCGACTATATGCCGAGGCAATCCCTATGGGCTCGGCGCCCATCCAATCCAGCAAAGGATCATCAACGGTATCGATCAGAGTTACATTCTCCTCGGCACTCTGGTCCTCGACCTCGTTGCGCCCCGAAGACTCCATTTCGTCAGCCATTTTACCTATAAAGCACAGGAAACCGGTGAAATTCGAGAGCAAAGCCATACGCTCGCCATAACTGACGGGAAGAAAGGCACGACGAGCCAAGTCACGCTCCGTGCGCGTTAAAACGTTGAGGACTCGAACAAGAGCCTGGTTTTACCTCCCCGATGCTAAGGTGCCGCGACGAGTCATCCTACATACTTCCTAGAAGGGCCAACATCCCGGCCAGTCATGAGTACGTCGACCTAAACTATGAATATGACGAGCAATATGATGAATCCAAAACCTAGAGCTATGGGTTTATCGGGCAATATCATAGGTTATGCGCCCAAAACCATGAAGATCCCGGGCAGCATCACGAGTCACATACATAAAACTATGCGTTTACCGGGCACAAACAGGCATCTACCGGGCACAAACATGAATATGCCGGGCATGAACACGAATGTACCGGGCGCTAATCCCATATGCGAATTTTCTAACATACAAATAACAAAAAAAATTACCTACAACGGAGAAAAATATGAGGGACAGACGCTTATTTGGAAGTTAGGAAGGTTGTACGGCGGCAGGGAAGAAAATCGACGGCGGAAGGCACGGTGGTCCTACGAAATTCTGGAAGAACAGCGGCGACAAAGGCAGAGGAAGGAGAAGAAGCGCGAAGAGGAAAAACGGATTATGGGACCCAAGGATCCTATTTATAGGGATGACGTGGAATACGAAACGTCACCCTGGGGAACCACGAGCTTCCCCTCCTCGACGCCTACTCCCCTAGGCAATGATGGCTCTACTTTCAGTAGGGTGGCGTCACGGTTCCCATGGGTTGCCTCGTATACCCAACGAGCACAACCCGCAAAGAATCCCCCGAGCACGCCTCGAAAAGGATTACCCCACGAACGCGACGCATGAGAAACTCCTCGAGCAACCACAAGGGATAAAATATCCTGGGCCGGGCATAAGACCCCGCGACAAAGGCGAACTGAGATCAAGTCATAACTCTTGCTCCAGGAGCCACGACTTGGGAGGCTCCTGTTCTGGACTGGGCCCGTTCTGGTCCAAGAGCAAGAACGAAGGCCCAATCCAAGCAACCCTTCAAGGAGCGCGCGCCCGAAGATTCCCGCCAACACGTCGACCAGAAGCTACGGTCATGCCCGCCATTGCCTGCAAACCCGACGTCCTCGACCACGTAAACTCCAGCTCGAGCATCCTCCTCGTAGGGCAGAATATGACTGTTACCCCATCACTAGAACTCTGGAAAGATCGCGTCCTCGTCCCTCCTCATTTCTCGCAGAGCATCACCAGGAAGGAGACCACGTGCGGGTCCCCACTACACACGTAGAACCTGGCAGTCCCTTTGTTGGGTCAGTCCTGGTCGGCCCAATGAAAGGACCTTGGCCCCGCGCTGGGGGCTATAAATACCCTCTGTTCTCAGAGGGTCAGGTATTCATTCTCTTACCCATACATACACTTTTGCCTGCTCGTACCATCATTCATTTTAGCATCGGAGTGCCTTGCAGGTATCTCTCCTATCTCGTTCAACTTCCGCTCGGAGCCAGTCGTGACGGTCCAAGTCTGATCAGGTAAGATCATAATGTATTTTTTATTATTTTTTTCTACTAACTTACATTTATTTATTGTATTTTAATTCATATAACTACTCTACTATCTATTATTAATAAGGTTATTTTAATAAATAAAATTTATTTTATCATTGAAATCAATATAATTAATCATTACTTTAAAAAGTATGAAAAATCTCAAAGAAAACACCTATTATAAGACGGGAGAGTATAATTTTTCACAAGCAAGCAATTTATAGGGTTTTTTTTTCAAATTTATTATAATTCAAAACACTATAGTTTCTATCGGTCAGGTAAGTTAAACTTCAAACTCCATACTCTCTCTCATGTCCTCTTACTACTTACTCTCATGTCCTCTTAATAGAATTGGAAGTGTATTTTGTTGCAACTTTTGACTCAGTATTCCAACATCTAGGTAACACCAATTTTGCCATCAAACTTGTTTCACATAATTTAATTAATTCTCATTCAAAATTATTTGCTTGGCCCTTACTATAGGACATTTTCTTGAAACCTTATAAGACCAACCAATTTCATTTTATCTCAAAAGTAAATTTGTGATATTATATTATTTCATATATGTATATCTGAAAATCCCTGAGAACAAAATAAATATTTAGTTATTTCAATTATACATATTCAAAAACTTCTAAAAATAAAATATGGAAATTTATTCAAATATGCATATCCAAATAATATTTTAGGATTGTCAGAGATTTTTTTCCAAACATATAAAAGTATCCTAAAAAATTCCCTAAAACTACTACAAAATAATAACTTTTCTTGACTTGGATGTATCATAGACTGAGGATCAATTAAGTTATGTGAAATCAGATAAAAAAATTCTTAGATTTAACCAATAATTCATATTTATTAGAATTTGAAAAATGAGAAAAAAATTCTTAGATTGAACCAATAATCCATACATAATAGAATTTTAAAAATGAGAATATTTACACATTGTCATCTACAACATTGCTCCAACACTAGCTGAATCCTAACGTTTTTTTTTCCACATAATCTTCAACCTCCAATTAGGAGCAATAGTGTAGTAAAAAAGAATTTTGATATTTAAAAAAAATCATAAAATTCATTTCTAAAAATATAAAATAAAAAAATCTATTTTCTTAAAGATAAAACAATCGGTCCTAAATCTAATAAGAGTACTTTTTAGTTTGAAGTCAATGTTATACAATTTCCTCGTTTTTGTTCCCAGACAGTAATTGAAAAATACAATTATATAAACAAGGAATGTCAATTCTTTATAATGAATGACTCAAATTTATCTCTTGGTAGTTCTCTCCAATTACAGAACCACGGAAAATAGTACATAACCACTCGTCGCAATGCCGGTGTGTTTTAATGTACTCCTAGTAGTAAAGCACTTACCTTTGTTGTATGCAAATAAATTATACAGATAGAGCAATTTAAATTAACATTACATGTTTTCGCCTCCGCTGCTAATGCACATTACTGTCCTCTACCTTTCTCGGATAAAAAATTGATCCAAGTATAACAGCAATACCAGTTATTGCTATTGTGATAAGAAGACGACTTTTTGAGAATTCGTTCTGCGGCCTTCTTGGAGCACTTTCATCTCTTTCAGCTGGCCTCTCGTCCCTTCACACGAAAAATGCACAAGATGGACCAATATTAGAATAAACCAATAGAATAACTATGATGCACTGTAATTATGTTTATATTGAGATGTACCTTGAAGATCCTGCAGCATTGGCTTCAAGTCTGTTGCAATCAACTTCATGAATGTATCTTTCACGTAATCTAACATATTTGTTACAAAGGTGGCACATCTCTGTTCGATTCCCGCATACATCCTGAAAGTTATTAAAGATCAAAATGAAATTAGTCTTTTGGTATATACTGCATATAGATTAACACAAACTTTTCAATTCGAAGGTTTTTTTTTTGTGACTACTGCACCTGATGCTCTGCCAGATCAATTGCTGGCAATGGAAACTCACAGAACTCACAGGTGACAATCCTTTGAGGGCATTTTTCACCTTTATGGATATCTAAAATATCACGCCCCATTGTTTCACTGCACAATGAACATGCAACCTGCACAATAAACATTTGCTTTTAAAAACTATTGCGAAAGTGATTTTTTAAATCCAACTTCAATATGTCATAGTGTGCCCAGCTTGGGGAACTGAATCAGGTGATGCATGTGATCAGATTCCCCAATTTATTCATGGTTTATGTCAGTCACAGCTTATATAGTGGTGACTGATAGGAACCTTCACATTATATCCATGACAATGATACGATTAAAATAACAATCACTCAATAAATTTACATGTTAGTCATTACAGCAAACTTTTCCACCAAATTCCCATTCCACAGTCCATGATTTTATTAATAATTGAATCCTGACAACAATATATAATCGGTTTTGAACAAAAGTACGAAGAAAACATTACAAAAGCCAATACTGAATCTGTAAAATCCAAACCTACGATCTAAAGCACCAATAACTTGAGAGATAACTAAGCAGCTGAAAGTTTATTTACAAAATGTCGTTCAAAATTTAACATTTTGTAACGGGAAATTTCAAGAGGATATCCCATAATCATTTTCAGGAAAACATGTTTCAGACCTCCAATAAGTTCATATAATAAAACTTGAAACGAAGCACTTGAACATAAGCCAATCTTCCTTGGTAATGAATTTCCAGAACTCAGAAGCAATTCTAGCTAAGATATCCAACTGTCACAGTTTTATCTTTACACACAAGAGTTGGAAAAAACAGCATTTAATCCTTCTAGATATTAGTCACCATTAGATCAGCAAAACAGTACCCTTAATGCCTAGTAGATCCAATTTATACTCCCTCCGTTTCAAAATGACTGTCATTCTCACCTTTCAAGGAAGGAATCGTTGTTACTTTTCCAATTATGCCCTTTAATTATTACTTTTTACACTTCTTCAAACAAATTAATAAGGCTAGTTTGGTAAAAATGGAATACTTTATGACAACATCATTGCATTCCTTAATCAATGAGCAAAAATCTTAAACGACAGTAATTTTGAAACGGAGGGAGTATTAAGGATGGTAACTCAATGGGTCAAATTCCAATGGACAGTTTTCAAATTAATCATTTTCCAACTCAAGTTTCGCATAAAATTATGAAGAAAACCTAACTAACTCAACCCAAAATCAATTTGAATATGTCAGATTGCAGTCATGAATCTTTTGACAACCGCCATGGCCAATTTGTGAAGGATGGCAGCACCATAGCATTTTATGGCGGATTTTTGGCTTTCCGCCATGGTTTTTCATCTATAACATTGGATTGGAAGATTTATTATAATTATAGACGGGTTGTTAAGAGTCTCACATTGGACAATAATCACAATATATGACCTGAACATGTGCTTATTAGTGAGGATAGACCTCACACTAGAAACTTGTTTAGTAGGGGTGAGTTAGACATAAACCACATTTCTTAACATGGTATCAAAAGTGATATGATGGGGCACCCCCTATCAGGTTTTCACTATCAAGCCACCCACCATCTATTTCCACGCTGCAGATGTCCAGTCTAGGGCGTGACGGGTATGTTAAGAATCCCACCTCAGACAATATATGATCTGAACATGTACTTATTAGTGGGGTCAGTCCCTACCCTACAAACTAGTTTCGCAAGGATGAGTTAGGCCTAACCCACAACTCTTAACACGGATGGAGCATTGATGAACCCTAATTTGGTTGAAACAAGAGCTAAATCAGATATTAATCTTAACATAGACATGAATTTTCGACCCATGAATCCCTCAAAACAATCTCATAAACTTATTCAATTTTTCTCTTATTATTTTTCATCGAGTAACACACATCAGAAATTCACATACTAGTAAGCGATTTCTCTAAACAAAAAACCTAAAACAAAAACAACACAAAACTTTTCATACCGGCGCATGCGTGTTCAAGTAATGATCCTCAGCATGTTGTTTGGGCACCATATCACCACAAACCTTACACTTTTCAAGGTTCCGTAAGCAATGAACAGAATGCAAATCAATGTTTGCAGCAGGAATAGCCCGATCACTGAAAATCATACAATTAAAACAAATCAAAATCAATCAAATCCCAAAACAAGTTCAATTAGTGATAATTTAGAGCTGGGAGCTCGAAAATCAAATAATCGATTAATCAAAAGCGAAGTGTTTGTTTACCAGTGAGGGCATATACTAGTGGCTTGATCGGGAACAGTATCCATGTCGTTAATACAATAACGAATCCGAGAAAACGTTGTTCAGTGACCTAATCTTGAGAAAACTGGAAAAATAGAGAAAGATAAGATATTTGAGAATGAATAATGAAAAATTGAGAAGATAAATAGATAACTGGATTATAGAAGATGAGATTACGATTGGGGTTGAATTAGGTTATATGAAGATTTGGGAAATTGGGAATGGAAGACAGAAGAGAAATTTTGGTCGTTTGGTTGAATAGGTTTGGTAGAAGAGACTTTTTATGGGACCTTTCTTTAACCATTTTTATGTTTTTTTTTTTAGAGATCATTGAAGAAATTTTCATTTTATCTATTAGTTTCAAATAGGGGTGTTCGCGGTTCGGTTTGGATCGGTTTTAAAGCAAAAACTCATCCGATCTAAAGATTAATTCACTTAAGGTTCGGTTTGATTTTAGATGATATATTTAAAAAAATCCAATCTGATCCGATTCAATTTTATGCGGTTTAATTTGGATCGATTTTTGGATATCCAAATTACACATTATATTTTTATTAATATTATAAAACTACTAATAAATCATAGATTTGATATAATATATAACATATAGTATATTAAAAGTTAATATTACAAAATGAGAATGATTGATTATGCTTGAAATAATAAAAATAAATAGATTATACCAAACTAATAAATATTATTAAAAAAATTATTATCATCTAATAATAAATTCACATAACATGTCATACTAATAAAAAGTAAATAAGTATCAAAATATATTTATGCGGTTCAGTTTGGTTTGGATCGGTTTTGAAAAATTCATCCGAAATCCAATCCGAACCGATCGGTTTTCATAAAATAACATCCAAACACAACCAATAACTTTCGGTTTTTTATGGTTTTCGATTTTTTGGATCGGTTTTCGGTTTTTTATTTGGATTGGTTTGGATTTGAACACCCCTAGTTTCAGATATGTACATCTGAATTTATTATATTTTATTTTTTATCAAATAATTTTAGAAATGTATATTCGAAGACACTAATGTTTTATTTCAGATATACATATCTGAAATATGTAGAAGCAGTGAATGAATTTAAACTTTTGAAACTAAACCAAAGCAACTTAACATAAATTTAACATAAATATTCAAAATTACATAGATAATTGAATATAAATTTAACATTACATATTGTTATAAACGGGTAGTTGAGAACGCCGCAACATTTTGATAACATCTTCTCCCGATCTTTGAAGCTTCACATCCACTTCAATCGGACCCTTAGTCGAGTATCGCTGAAAAATACTCCACATAATCTTTAAATCATCATTTGTCTTCAGTTTAAACTTGATGAACTTTATATTACCTTCAGTGTCAAGTGATGGTGAAGAATACTCGATCTTGACCACCTTGCGATTTTTTGGATATTGCAAGAGAGAACTCAATGTGGTAATTAATACGATGAGAGGCGTGTCCTCGGAGACACGAACCCGAAATGGCGACATGTTACCATTGAAGTAAACAAAAACAATGAGAGGATATGTTTGGGTCATATCTGTTTTTGGTTTGTGATGTTGAAGAAATTGGGTTGGAGACCCTATTTATAGAAGAGATGGAGCAATTTGGATTCAAGAATTTTTATATTGCCACCAGTGCTTATTTCAGTTATACACATCTGAATTAACCTTTTTTTACGTAAAAGGGGGTTTCAGATATGCCTATCTGAAGTAACCCTTATTTTGTGTTTTTAAATTGAAGGTTCCTTTGGATATGAATATCTGAAATAACATATGTTCTATTTTTTTAAAAAAATATAGACTATTTTGGATATGCATATCTGAAATATGCAGAACCAGTGGCAAAAATAATTTTATTTGAATCAGTACCATAGAAATGTGGAAAAAATAAATGGGAAAATTTAAGCAGCGATACAATTTTGAATAGACATATTATATATGTATTGAATCATATATATTTTATATTGTGCACGTCAATACATTCAAAAAATGGTTCAATTACATTCTAAAATGCACCAAACGAATAATCACCGCTTAAATCTAAAATCAGGTCTTTCTTAGACTTCTCTCTATTTGATTCTCTCTCAAGCTTTGTCAAACGGGTGAACTCTGCTATCCTTTCCAAAAAGGTATCCGGCCAACTTTCTGCCTCTTTTGCCGAATATGTCTTCCATTGCACTGAGGTAGCCGAAATAGGACACCCCGATTTCAAATAAACCTGAATAAAATGGCGTGATCTAAGGTACCCAATACAAATGATATGGCCGAATGGGTATTGAGGTGGGGGAATCCGAAGTGGAAAAAATGTTTCTGAAAAACCATATCTCGTCAGATCGATATATTTCTTCTCATATGCACTTGCTATTAGATGGCCCATTTCAAGGAAGCTCATCCATTTTTCAATGGGTTCCTGAATGTTAACACTTGGAACAAGCGCATTGTGAACTTTATTGAATTCTTTCTTATTCACATATAGTCATGAGTAAATTTTTCTATACACCATCAACTCTAAAATAATTGTCTGACGCACAAGAGTGTGATTCTCCTCTCCTTTATCAAGTAAAGCAGACATGGCCCGAAACCCGTAATTACTATCTGTGATCGGTGGAAATAGAACTGACTGTTTTTTAAGCTGGTTCGCGAAATGTCGCGGTAAGCAAGAGTCGCAACCGTCTTTTATGTTCTCCAACATGGAAAGGACAAAAGCACAACAAAATTCCTTCTTTGAGATTTCTCTCGGTTCGGGAGGTAGATTTATAGAAAGGGAAGGTGTTAGCACCCTTTCTATCCGTGGTTATCCACGGGCTCTTAGGTACTTGCTCTTATGTTTTCAAAATTTGTTTGCTTTTCAAATGTGTGTGTGGGTTTGAAAAAGTTTTGTTGAAAAATTTCTAAGTAACTCTTGTATCTGTCCTCAAGAGTGTATGAAAAATTTGTTTGAAAACTTTTAGAAAGTGTGAAGTGTGAAAAGTTGTTTTGTTTGTTTTTGAGAAGAGCAAGTACTTAAGAGAAATCTACCTACTCTAAGGAATTAAGCTGTGTAAGAGTCCTTTAGATAGTGCTATCCCACCATTGAGAGGTAGGTAGCACCATCGTTGGAGGTATTCGGGTCAATTCGATTATCGGGACAATGTGGTCACCGAAGCAATGGTAGGACATCTTAGTAGTAACCCTAATGTCCTAGATCCTTTTTTTATCCGAGGCAACCGTTTCGAGGCAACTGGATCTTTAGACAGAAGGGCGACCTCTAAGACGTCCTATACTTGATGACCACGTTCGAGGCAACCAGTGAGGCGTACCCTAGGGGTGGCATGTGCATGTGTGTTGTTTTTCAGTTAATGTTTTGTACATGTTATTTGTGAGCTACGGATTGATTTTATTATTCATACATTCTTTCATGCATTTTTTAACAGTTAGGAGTGCGGAAAATAAATTGCAGAAATGTAAATTCTAACTATTACAAGGCGCGGGTCTATACATCGCCAAAAACAAAAACCCGTTTTTGAAAATAAAGTGCGAGAATTTAAATAAAGCGGTAAACCTATTTAACTATTACATACTCTGTACAGATACATAAATAATTAAAATAAATAAATGCGCGCGAATAGAAATTTAATCGGGAACGTCTCGAGGGTGTTGACCCTTTTTTAAGAAGGAACTGAATTTTGTCCTTTTTTAATGAAATGGAATTAAAACTAATTATTTAATTTATTAAAAGAAAAATGTTTTTGTATTTTTATGTTTTTAATGAAATAAAATAAAATGAATTGAAATTAAAAGTTGAAAGTCCTAATTCTAAATTAATTTTACTTATTAAAAAAAGTTAAAATTGTTCTAATTACACCACTAATTAATTAATATTAAAATTTATTTACAAAATAACTAAACTAAGTGAAATTAATAATGATAATAAATTAAAATGTTTTTTTTATTTTTTATGAAAAATATTAATTAAGTTAATAATACTAATAATTAAAAAAAAGGAATTATAAAAGAAAAGAAAAATAAAAAGATAAAAAAAAGGAATAACAAAACCAAGGGGGGGTATGGGCCAGAATTGAGGGTTTGTTTAGCATTGCTGTGGCCCATTAAGCACAAAGTCACGTTGACTCCTGGAATCATGTGCATATGGTTGACTGAAAAGCATGGTGCTCATCATTTCCTGGCCACTGGATTGTTGTTTGTAGACACTTGGCATGCTGAAGCGTCAGGGCACATGGTATACCACCTTTAGAAGCCTGCACAGGAATACATTGAGAAAAAATGGAAACAAGGAAATTGGGAGATCTGGGAAAACTTACAGCGCGGTATGATGGACCTTAGGACGTGGCAAGGGTTGCTTTAGCTTTAGAGTATGGCAAAGAAGAGAGTCACGTTCTCCTTTTGGCCTGAAAATGCTTGCAACACTCCTTTTGATCTCACACTTTTTTTTGACACTTTTTGGATTTTGCTCTGGCCGTTTGTGCACACTCTAGGTCGTGAATGAGGCTTGCAAGGCTTGCATATGTAGTAATGAGTGAGAATAAGTCACATTTAGGAGCCTTTAACCATTGCAATTAAGCTTTGGATTTTGTCTTAACCACCATTAAAGGCCTTTCAAAGCTTGTTCAAAATTTGAATTTTCATGCCTAAATGAGCTTAGCACGAAATTGGTAGGTTGCAAATGCTTCATGAAGGCTATTCAAACCATAAGATACCATTTAATTAATTTTTTTAGATTTACTTGAATTATTATGGATTAAAATGAATTAAATCCATAAAAATTAAATAAAAATAGAAAAATAATTATTTGGTCTTGAAATTGATCATGGGACACGTGGGTGGTATGACAAGGCTGAATCAAGTGGAAAAAAGTGGGCCCTTTTGTCAAAAATTGAAGTTTCAAGGATAGTTGACTTTTGCCATTTCACAAAAATTGCCCAACTTCTCTAATGCATATCTTGCTCAATTTTGATCATATGAACATGTTCTTGGACATTTTGGAAAGGTCTTGAAGTCCTATAACCAATG